GGTTTTAAATCTGCTACCTATTAATTTCATTTGGTGACCCCTAGTTCTTGTGCTATGAGAAGGAGTAAATAACACTTCCTTATTTCCTTTCTCCACACCAGTCATGATTTCATATACCTCTATCATATCCCCCCCTTAGTTGTCTCTTTTCCAAGCTGAAAAGTCCCAATCTTAATAATCTCTCCTCATATGGTAGTCATTTCATTTCTGTTGCCCTTTTCTGAACCTTTTCCAATTCCAATATATCTTTTTTGAGATGGGGCAACCACATTTGCACACAGTATTCAAGATGTGGGCATACCATGGATTTATATAGAGGCAATATGATATTTTCTGTCTTTTTATCTATCCCATTCTTAATGATTCCCAACACTCTGTTTGCTTTTTTAGACTGCAGCCGCACACTGAGTGGATGTTTTCAGAGAACTATCCACAATGACTCCAGGATCTCTTTCTTGAGTGGTAACAGCCAATTTAGACCCCCATTACTTTTTATGTACAGTTGGGATTACATTTTCCAATATGCATTTCTTTGCATTTATCAACATTGAATTTCATCTGCCATTTTGTTGACCAGTCACCCAGTTTTGAGCGATCCTTTTGTAGTTCTTCGCAGTCTGCCTGGGACTGAACTATCTTGAGCAATTTTGTATCATCTGCAAATTTTGCCACCTCACTGTTTCCCCTTTTTTCCAGATCATTGATGAATACATTGAATAGGACTGGGCCCACGACCGTGGGGGACACCACTATTAACCTCTCTCCATTCTGAAAACTGATAATTTATTCCTACCCTTTGTTTCCTATCTTTTAACCAGTTACCAGTCCTTGAGAGGACGTTCCCTCTTATCCCATGACAGCTTACTTTGCTTAAGAGCCTTTGGTGAGGGACCTTGTCAAAGGCTTTCTTAAAATCTAAGTAAACTATATCCACTGGATCCCCCTTGTCCACATGCTTGTTGGCCCCCTCAAAGAATTCTAGTAGATTGGTGAGGCATGATTTCCCTTTACAAAAATCATGTTGACTCTTCCCCAACAAATGATATTCATCTATGTGTCTGACAATTTTGTTCTTTATTATAGTTTCAACCAGTTTGCGCAGTACTGAAGTCAGGCTTACCAGCCTGTAATTGCCGGGGTCACCTCTGGAGCCCTTTTTAAAAATTGGCACCACATTAGCTATCCTCCAGGTATTTGGTACAGAAGCTGATTTAAATGATAGGTTACAGACTACAGTTAGTAGTTCTGCAATGTCACATTTGAGTTCCTTCAGAACTCTTGGGTGAATACCATCTGGTCTTGGTGACTTATTACTGTTTAGTTTATCAATTTGTTCCAAAACCTTCTCTTCTTCTCAATCTGGGACAGTTCCTCAGATTTGTCACCTAAAAAGAATGGCACAGGTCTGGGAATCTCTCTCACATACTCAGCCATGAAGACTGATGCAAAGAATTCATTTAGTTTCGCTGCAATGGCCTTATCATTCTTGAGTGCTCCTTTAGCTTCTCGGGGCTTCCTGCTTCTGATGTACTTAAAAAAAATTTTTTGCTATTACTTTTTGAGTCTTCGGCTAGCTATTCTTCAAATTCTTTTTTTGGCCTTCCTATTATATTTTTATCTTTCATTTGCCAGAGTTTATGCTCCTTTCTATTTTCCTCATTAGGATTTAACTTCCACTTTTTAAAAGGATGCCTTTTTGCTTCTCACTGCTTCTTTTACTTTGATGTTTAGCCACGGTGGCATTTCTTTGATTCTCTTACTATGTTTTTTTAATTTAGGGTATACATTTAAGTTGAGCCTCTGCTATGGTGTCTTTTAAAAGTTTACATGCAGCTTGCAGGGATTTCACTTTTGGCGCTGTACCTTTTAATTTCTGTTTAACTGACCTCCTCATTTTTGTGTTGTTCCCCTTTCTGAAATTAAATGCTACGGTGTTGGACTGTTGTGGTGCTTTCCCCGCCACAGGGATCTTAAATTTAAATTATATTATTGTCACTATTACCAGGCTGTCCTGCTATATTCACTTCTTAGACCAGTCCTCTCAGGACTAAATCAAGAATTGCCTCTCCTCCTGTGGGTTCCAGGACTAGCTGCTTCACAAGTGAAATGGTAGTATAATATTCCAATCTTCAGTGGCTGTAAAAATCTTATGGGTTCATTCGATGAACATATTTCTCACAGATAGGAGAAGTTTATAGGCAGTATTATACTGGCCAGATTAAAACCACATAATGTAAATGCAGATGAGGTAAAAAGAGAGTTGTGTATGTCTGCAAATCATAACTGCATAGTTTTTTCATCTTTGCTCCCAGGCATTTGGTGTGCTGTTAAACAGTAACAGTAAGCAGCAGTCTCTGTCACCTGTCTTGTAAGAGAGAATGAACACAGGCTTCATTATTTTTATCACCAACAAGGTTCTCCTTGGTTCCCCAGTGGTCTAGGATCCAGGCTATTCAGAAAGAGTCCTTCCAGCTTTCAGGTGAGGGATAAAACAGAACAGCTGTTAATGACTGTTTATCACAACAACTACTGAAGCCATGCAAATGGATGTCATACTTAAAAGCGCTGGAAAATTAAATCCAAATTACTGGGAAAATATAGAACATAGCCGAGGGAAATCAGCTTGCAGAAGCCAAATATTACATTAGCTTTGGATTACACAGACTTTCTCTTTTGTACAATAATAACCACAGCCATTTCTGTGGGAACTATAATGAAATGTTATTTTTCATAGCTTTAGGCCATCAATTAACATGTTCTCAGAAACAATAACTATTTGTGTAATGTGAAGGATATCCAGTTTATACATTCTCACATCAAGTCCAATGGAATGGAGATTTAATATTTGTTCTACCTCTAATATTAATGGACTAAATCCTAACGCCCATACACCACTGTTGTGTATTGTGGCTACAACTCCATGCCCTAAGTCATAACCATGCCCATACAGTGGTCCTAAGGGAGAAGACTCCATCATCTATGGACACAGAGCTGCTCTCCTTCCCATCCCACTTCTCTCCTTCCCCCATCCCCACCATACATGCTAGTGGAGTGGAGCTGGTAGAGAAGGATGTTGTTGATAGACAGAGGAATAGAGTGAACTGCTCTCCAGCATCAATTGGCTGACAACTTCAAAACAGAGCTGTCACTTAGGAATAATGGGAGCCCATCTGCCTGAAGACACACACCACACAGGAATTTTTGGTCTGGGGGAATGTTGAAGGCCCGTGGTCCCATCCAATCTCTTCCCCAAGCACCTGTTTTGTAGGGGCTCTTAGTGAGTCCCCACCCTGACGCTTTGGTCTGTTGTCAGGTGGGGTTCTGCAGGAACTACTGCAGGCCTCAGACTTCTGTAGGCGTCTCTTTTGCTGCACGGGGAAATGCAGGACCACTTACATGAGCTCCAAGTCCCCTTTTGGTTTCCATGGGCTCTGACTGTGGAGTGGCTGAGCCAATCCGTGCACCTTACCGGGCCAGCCAGATTGTTCTCAGGGTAGGTCAGGTTAACATAGATCTTCGCCCCTTTGTACAAGTGTAAGGCTTTTCTATCCCTTAGGCTTTGCCTCATTTTATTATATGTTCATTGAGCTCTCTCTTATTCTCCCTTTCCAAGACCAGGAATCAGACCCTTTCCATCAGATACATTCATTCAAAAATACAATTCCTCTCCTTCATTTTAAATTTTATTCTTACAAATGGAGAGACAATGCCTGAGCTTTTATTATGAGTTATATTATAAACAAGCATGTGTTCAACATTCCGCCTTTGTGCCCATCCTTTTCCCTATTTTTTTAAAATCATGATTTATAAACCTGAGTTTTGCTATCCAGCTGGTAGCCTCGGGGACCCATTCCAGAGCCATATTAGAAAGAATTGCAGGTCAGTAGGGGCAGAGGTTATCATTAGTTCTTCCAGCTGGTCCCTAATACGACAATGGTATTAGATGCAGAAACAACCAGGTAAAACTACTGTAGCCAAAAGAGGGTGGGGATGAAAGAACTCCCATAAAGAAGGAGGGCTGGAAACTGATGGTGAAAAGTTTCATAGGCTCCCACCTATGTTCCTTCAATCAAATTCAAGCTTCTGCAGAGCTACCTTTTGTAGGTAATGCATGAATGGCCTGTAGTAGCTGGTCTTGGAGGTGACAGAAAATGTATTCTATTCCTTGGAGTAACTGTAATTAATGTCAAAAATGTACAGTAAAAAAGTTATTTCCTGCATTTATGAAATATATCTGTCTATGTATTTACATTGCTCTCATTACCTTGGTATCTGAACACCTTCCCAGGGAATTATGCAAGTTCTTTCCTGGCAGGCTCTTTCTAGAGCATCAGCTGTATATGCAGAGTAACTACAAGGTGGGACCACCAGTGTTGCTTTTGGCCTACCTGTAAGAAGGGCCCTAAAGTGCTGCTGTGATCAGGTCTGTGCTGGGAATGGAGAAAGAGTGCAATGTTGATTGTACAAAGGCAGAAGCAGGCAGCTGTAAGAGGACCAGCAGAAGGCAAGAGCAGCTTGGATGACATGATCCTGTTGTTGATGTTGTTTTTTCTATAGCCAACCATTTCATCTGACTCCCTTTGGACCATCACCTGAGAAGATAATGATGGAAATAAGATGAGAGATAGAAAGGATAAAAAATAAGAGACGGGGTGTCACAGTCACAGTAAAATTGCCCCCCATGGGGTCCCCTGGGTAAGCACCAGCATTGTATATTGCTAATGCCTATATATGCATATGCGTGGGAAAGGATTTTGGGAGGGGTTGAAGGTGTAAGTATGGAGTGAAAGGTTTCTTTGCAGGGTATGAGAGGCTGTAGCGGGAGGAAGGGAGAAGGGAACGGGTTAACTCGATGCTCCAGCTAGGTCCGAACATAAGATGCTGACTCCAGCCCAAGGCCACAGCACACAACCAACTCTCGGCTGCCTGCCAAGAAAGACGGGGGCCGGATTCCAACCCCGACCAGCCATGAGAAAGGAGGATTCAGCTGAAGAGAACTGCAGGGGCTGCGAAAACCAGTGGAACAGTGAAGGCCAGAGAGTGGGAAAACAACAGTCTTGCATCCCTGAAGCCAGTGTGTTTTGGGAAAGCTGAGGAAGCTCTGGAAAGCTGGCTTGGACTGGTACAAAGAGCACAGGGGACAGAGGTCCCTGAACAAAACACCCCCAAAAGACCCCAGGACTTAAAACCCTCCAGAGAGCTAAAGCAAATAGGAGATCAACAGCAGACCCTGGACAACCTGTGCACAGGACAGAACTCTCGTCCACCCTTCCCCCTCTTCTTCTGACGTTACACCCAGGGTTGGCCAGCCTCGGGTCATGCGTGTGTGAGTATGAAAGTGGGTTAGGGCTGGGGCACTAATGCTTTCTTTCTTCCTCCGAGTGATGTGGGAGCATTCCCAGCACTCAGTGCTGTTATTTTATTAACAAAACTTTAAAATTTAGTCACTTGGTGTGGCTCCTTCATCTCTTCCCCTAATGATCCTGCAGCCTCATCCTGATCACCTGACGCCTCAGGCAGATTGGTAACATAAATTGGGGAGGAAGAAGCTGGAAAACAGCAAGATGAAGAGAAAGAGATTAGGAAACTATAGTGAGGAGACAGAAAGAATCTGGAAAGCAGCGGTGCGGAGCGCACCATTTTCTCCCAGACTATATGAACTCAAGCTGAATGTGTGTGGGTGATATTATTCTTAGTAATAGAAGTATTGTAGCACATTGGAGACCCAGTCATGGACTAGGACACCACTGTGCTAGGCACTGTACATTCACGGAACAAAAAGACAGGCCCTGCCCCAAAGAGTTTACAATCTAAGTATGGTTTTTATCCCTCCATTGAAATGGTCATCCTAGTCTGTTCCTAAAAGCAGAATATTTGAAAAGCCAAAGATCACATCTTCTGAAAATAGTATCTGATCCTGGTTTAGGTTTTTGTTAAGTGGAAAACAAGTAATAAGGCGGAAAACTCTCATAACAAGCAGACATACATGCCTGGTAACAATGGCTGATCATGTTGAACAAGTGAGAGAGACACAGGGGAAGTTCAAAAGAAATCTTAAAAAAATATAGTATCATTAGAAAGCATAGGATTTGCATTGTGACAAAGTGATCTGAGGGATTTTAGTTTGTGTTTTGGGACTGATATTCTGTTCAACAAGAATTGGAACAATTGTTTTTATTGGATGCTTCCCTTTTTTTAAAATCCCCTCATGACTGATTTCTTTAGATATAAATAAAGCTTGGGAAAAAATGTGACATGTGGATGAAGGAGGAAAAATAACAGATCCAGACACCCTGGTACCACTCAGTGGCCATAGATGCCAAACACAACAAATATGTTTTACAACAAGCCTGAAGCACCAACCACCTTTCTCATGAAAGCTATATGAGGTAAGGAAAAAAACTAGCAAGCTGACTTGTACGCCTTTTTGATAAGTGCTTTTCATAAGTCCATGAAATATAGATATCAACTAAAAATGTTTTTGAGCGTCCAGAGTATGTCTGCTGTGTACACCTTGGTTTAGGGCCAAACCTTGGTCCCACAGCCTGAGAAAAAGGGTTTTGCCTGTGGGAACTGCACAGGGGCTAGGGAGAACAGAATGGCATCCAGCAACCTGCTAGGAGGGGCTCAGTCACATTGCATTGGTCTTCAACTTCAATTGCTGGATATGATGAGACCCTCCATTGTCCTGAGTGCGGTACAAATAAAGAGGAAGACAAAGCTCCTGCCCCATAGAGTTTTATATTAGAAAAGACATAACATGTGTGGATAACAAAGCAGTTGAAGGGGAGAGAGAAGGAGGCGTCATTGGGTATATATATCCCACACTGGTTCAGCAACCAAAGGGTTAATACAGGCACAGCTGGCCACTGCCAATTGGTAGTCTCCCAGCAGCTGGGAGGATGAAAGGACTGGGAAGCAGCTGTGTGGGGCAGCTACCAGAGGAGTGAGTAGGTTGGAGCAAGGAGCTCCTGTCAGCAAACTGCTAAGGAGCCACCCAGGGAAAACACCCCAGAAAGGGATAAATGGATGAGCCTGGAGAGACCAGAGGAAGGTAGGAAGGAGCTCAAGGCACTGTCAGAGTTGGTGAATGCTGATCCTGCTTGTCTAGCTTGGGGACCTGTCCTGAGCAGGAACCTAGTGGAGTAGGTGAGTGTGGGATCCCCTAATACCTGATGGACTTGAGAACAGAGAAGGCTTCAGATTCCTGAGCACCAGGGACAGACAGACAGCGCTGCTGAGCTGGGGCCATGTCCTGCTTGGCCAGGAGGGGCACCATTGTGCTGACACTCTCTCACAGGAGGGTAACAGTAGTAGGATCATGCAATTACCTAACTAGTTATGTGAACTTCTTAATGGTTCAAATCAAGATTACAATCCAGAAACTCATAAAAGCAAGAAAGTCTATGGTTTAGGTTAAAGAGTATAGGTGAAATTCTGGCCTTCTTGAAACCAGTGGCAAAACTCCTAGTGACTTCAACGGAGCCAGGATTTCATCCTGTATTCTGAACTCAGCTGTTGAACTTTCTGATTTGAGAACAGCACTTCTCCAGCTGACCCCTGGTCTATGAAGCATTTGCTGGTGGTCTGGGGAAAGCAGGCTAGCCAGAGGGTGCTGAGTCCTCCTCTGTATTTCCTGCTTCTAAGTTGTATTTAAACCAGTAGATGCATTAATTACTTTCCTAATGTCACTTTAATATGTAAGCAGTTGCTGTACTTGTCATAGGGATGTTATGCAATTATGCAATCACAAATACAAGGTCTGTGAAACAACCTGTGTACTAAAATGAGTTCCACCCTGTGAAAGTGTCAGAACCCCTGTGCCAGAAATAAAAAGGTGAAGGTTAGCACACATTTTTACAACTACTGGTTGTTTGGGGTTTTTTTAGACTGGCAGGAGGTTATGTTAATGTCTGAAATTTCTTTTGGCTCCCTTTAGCGGGGAAAAGAATCCTGGATGCCCAAAGAGCTGGTGGAAAAAATAAATACTGTGAGTAGCATTGTTAATTGGACAAATTCTGACTAATAAGAGGCCAAATGATTTGCTGTGTGCAGAGACCTGCAGCCATTTTTACTCAAACCCAAGGACCAACCCAGAGTAACAGATGTGTATATCTAGATCCACATTATGAAGTGGAACGGTTTGCCTAGGGACTGTGTGAATAGGACTTTGCAGGGCCTGTCACTAAAGAGTCAAGTACACTGGATTTCATTCAACATTGCTACCTTTTGGCACAGTATTCTCAAGGTTCACTCCTTTCTCCTATTCCTCATGCTCTTGGGTGGACCACATGGGACATTTTTATTTTGGTAGATTCTGATTCTAATTACTTGATGGACAGCAGCGTTGGGGGTGTGGTAGTTTTTTTGTTTGTTTGTTTGTTTTTTGAGTATATATGACACTCCTGGCAGAATTTGGCCTTGGATAATAATTTGTCAGTTTTACATTGCAGCAGAGCCTGTAATATGTGGCAGTGCAGGAAGAACCACTGTTGTACTACCCTTTAAGAAAATGCAGCACAAGTTCTTCTTTCCCTACACATGGGGGTTGGGACATCAGCACTGACATGGACCCTGTTCCCTACCCTCTCCTTTGATTCTTTTTAAATAGATAAGTGGTGAGAATACATTCATCCACATCAGCAACAGAATTTTTAGAAAGCTACTCGCTCAGCACTATTCATGCTCATAGTATTTTGTACCAAGATCACATACAGTGGCTCAGATTTGCCTCAGTTATTCAGACTAAATCGAGAGCAACTCCCTTTAAGTGAAGTAACTTCTGATTTAGAACACTGTTAATGTTAACAGAACATAGTCCTTTGTCTACTTGATTTAGTCATCAGCAACATAAGAGATTTCTAAGTATCAAATTAGCCACCAGAGGGAGTTTACCCAGTCCCAAAATATTAAAGAAACACACTGAAATTACAAGATGAAATAAGGAACATTTTTAGACCAAACTTTTCAAAAGGAGGCTTATGTTATACCTACCAAATCAGAGGACAAGAGTGCAAACAGTTACACAGGTTGTGAGCACAATTTGTGTGTGTGATTCCAGGTGCAAGTTAAACACTATTTTTGAAAATGTGGCCTTATCTATTGACTTCATAGTGCAATCCATTGTCTGTACCTGTTTTGACATGCATGTTTAGGATAACAGTCTAATGTAGATGTTCGTTTGTTTTTGTTTTTTCCTTCTTGAAGCAATGTCCTTTGACTGAATTTGTCAAGAAGTAGCACATGTATTAAAATTGTTTTGGGGTTTTTTAAGTTGTATTAAGTCAGCAGAGGCACAAGAGGAAAAATCCATATAAAATATTCTGGATGGTACTTTAGGATTTTAATGACAAAACATGGATTGCATGTCCAAAATAGTGTGTTCTTCGCTTTTTGGAGCTCCGATTAACAGTATGAGAATTTCCATAATGCTGATGGTTCCTTTAAAATATGTGGCTTGTCAATATTCTTTGGGCTTCCAACCAGAAAAGCCACATTGCATGCTCATCGTACTCCGTGCCTAATAATACTCATATTTTCCTTTTGTTTTTTTTTCTGGGTATTCTAATGTCTGGAGCTAATGAACAGCCGACACTTCAGAATCATGAAATCGGATAACCAGATTGACTGTTTCTTCATCCGACAAAAGCCCCTGTGAATACTTGTATTAAAGAAGAAACTGTTCATTAACTCAAGATATTAAACACCAGAAAAAAATGTTTTCACAGGAGTTACATTAGGAATGAATTTGACCCAAGGTATTAAAACTGATTATTTTGTACTGAAAGCTGTAGCTATGCAATACCTATTAATCCTATATTGAACTTGAGCTAATATATTAGGATGAAGAATGTGGGGAAAAAAGTTTGGATTCCTCACCTCCCCACCCCCAAGCCCACACACTACTTTAACATCCGTGTGCCACTGTATTTATTTCCCAGCCAGACTAGAAGTGCCAGAACATGCCCCCCTACCTCCCACCCCAAAAAAAACACCCTGTTCTCTGGGTATTTTCATTGCAGTTGGGAGGAGGAAGTAATCAGAGTCTAATCTCAGCAGATTTCCAGCTCTAGCTTGCAGTCCAAGAGGTATGCATAATTCAGATAGTCTGGTTAAGCATCCAAACTGAACTGACTTTCCATAGTGTTAAACTCAGTCTATTACTATTCAGCATTTTCTGTCATAGTTGGGCCTGCATGGATAGCTGTGCCCATGCTCTATGGGGAAGTGTCTTTAAACTATCCACTTACTAGGATGGTGGGGTAGGTGACAAATGTGTCTTAACAGAAGCCCCTGGGTTGCTATTAGGATTTAAGGCAAAGTCTTGCTACTTAATATGTTCATGATACCTAACTTTTTTTATATAGCACTTTTAATCAGTCTCTCAAAGTGCTTTACAAAAGATGATATTCCCATTTTACAGCTGCTAAAGTGAGATCATATTACTATGAGAACTGTTTTATTCCCCAAATTTTGTGCATGCAAATTTATCTTAAGGGTGCATTGATGTAGTTTTTTTTTAATGTAATACCTCAGATTAAAAAGCAGTCCCCTCTGTTCCAAAGCAAGCCACCACACAGCCTCTCAAACCTTCCCTCTAGCTGCCTTCGTTCATATTTAACTACCTGTCCAATTCTCACGATCACCAAACTTGCCCTTTAACCTGTCTATCCCACTCCTGGTCACTCAGGCTCATTTTCACCTTTAGGTCTCTAGCCTACTGATAGCTGAACTGCAGAATCAGAAGCAAGTAGGAAGCTGATTGCTTGTCTACACCTTTGGCTATACCAAGAAGTTCTGTGCTCACCTGCTGGCTTGCTGGACAATCACTTAGGTACCTAGATGAAAGTTAAACACTGAATTAAGTACTTAAACTGAAAAATAGGCATCTAAATAGTTTGATAATTCTTGTCATTATTAATTATGTCATTAGGAACAGTTCCCTCAAAAAATATTGAGGGAGAAATAATCACTGATCTAAGAGGCTTACAATCTAAGGGCTTGATTTTTAGGGAGTTTGTAGGCATCATGCATGTGAACTACAACATGTTTATATGAATACTTCATTTGTTTACAGATGCAATTTCAATGGATGCCTACCTAGCCACGTTCAAGTGCAAATCAGGGATTTGTGTGAAAGATTATCATATCCACTATCTAAGCAGCTTGGAGGAGGGCATGGATCAGAATTCACATCACACTCCCCGTCAGTACCTGGCCCAAGTCAGGCAAGCTAATGAACAACTAGCAGACCAAATTTGGTGATGAATCCTGGTCACATGCCACCTGAGGCACATTGTGCATATGCCAAGAATAGTTTGGAATAAATATAGGAACACACAAATTGCCATATCAAAACAGAACAATGGCCCATCCACACTGGCCAGTC